CATCTGTATTATCAGCGTTAATCACATAAAGTTCTGTTTTGAAAATATGACTCACTAGTGGATAGAGTTTTCCCAAATTGCTTAAAAGATTAATAAAATAATCAACTTAGCAGAGGGGAAAAAAAACACAAACTATTCCTGTAAGGAAATCACTTTATTGCCTATACATGTGAATGAGCTGTTTTAATACTCAGGTTCACTGCCTCCTCTGCATTTAATCTCTTCTCTTTTATGTCCTACTCTGATTTTTTTTAAAAGACTTTCAGGCTTTTTTAAAATTAATTATACAAATCATTAGTATTAAAAAGGTAATATAATGGTTTCAAGAACAAGCTTCACAGACTATCTGCATATTTAATCATCTCTGCTAATAAATTTTTAATCACTCATTGAGTTCAGGTTCTTGTCTTGAAGCTTAACTTGATAACAAACCTAGCAACTGGTAGAACTAATTGGTACAGAGTAAGTGAATAATTTATAAGAGGAAAAAGCACTGGGTGTTCTGGAGGTGTGCAGAGACCACAAGTCACAGATATTTCTGGGAGGAAGCAGGAAAACAGCGGCTGATTACAGGAATTTCATGATACACTGCTGACATCCAGAGGCCAACAGTCAATACTGTTCACATATGTAAACCAGGCTGTAAAGCACGCTGTAAAGCCAGATTCATTAAGTTTTAAATATTCATGCATTTCATTAAAGTTAACATTAATTGCACTACCATACACATTGATTATGCATAGACCATAAGTGTTTAACCTCTGAAGGCTTGCAAGTATATTCAAGTAATGGGGTATGTCCCATTTTCGATGATTTCAGTGAAAGCTTCAGCTACGAAGTTGAAATTAGAAACGGAATGCATTACAGTGCTAAGGAACCATAGTTTGAAATATCAGAACAGTAATAAAAATAAATATTTTACTAACCAAACAGAAACGCTGATGTAAGCTGTAAGTTGCTTTGTATTTTTGTAAACTAAAGTAATCAAGGTAACAAAAATTATGTGTAAATTTCTTACTGACAAACACTAGACTGATTTGCAAACTACATCTGTTAAATAGGTTTAAACAGTTAAAATAAATTAACTGGTAGCTGAGTGGCTTCTATTTAGATGAAGATGACTAGCTTTTAACAATGGAACAACAAAAAAAGGCTATTCTCTTGAAATAAGCTGATTTATGTCTTAAAATTGGACACCCAAACCCACTTACACTACAGAGTAATTCTACCTCCAGGGAAGTACAAAATGCTACAATTCTTAAACCAGGATGTAACAGACAACATTTGACAGAAATTCAATTATCCTTGAAAGATCCCACTTGTAGTTAGTTACATGCGTAATCCTCTTTTATTTAATGGGTTAAAGCTCTCTTTCAAAACATTTAGTTTGATGAACTGAAGACTCGCTACATGTCAAAAAATTCATTAAGTGACTTAATAAGATTGTTAAGTAAAAACACTCAGAAGTTAAAAAATGTCATTTAATGCTGCCCATGCAACCTTAATTCTGGCTGTGTATGTGTATGCATTATGAAACACCACTGAATTAACTTTTAATCTCCTTTGAGCCAAAAAGATTTTAAGATTGGAAACTAAGGCACAAAGGGCATGCCAACAAATACAATGCTGAGCTTTAGAGCAATCTCTGAACTAGCTCTCAGCTTGCAGAGCATACCCCTGCCCCTGCAGGGCTAATTACCCCAGATAGAAAGATGGGCTTGTACAGTTATACTGCTTCTGGTACCTCTGCATGGCAAGCTTAGTTCTCTCTTCCTGGCACTGCACTGCACTGCACGGATACACTCACAGAAGTATAAAATTTTAAATCTGAAGAAAGTATGAAGTGTTTTTCAAATACCATGCTTCAAACCTAGGTGCTTTGACACTGATTCTCCATCAAGAAGTTTAAGACTATAGATTCTGACCTCCTCCAAGTAAAGGTAAAAATATATCACCTTCCTTAAAAAAAGCTCTCTGCAAACAATACCAATTTCAATTATAATTTTTTTAAAAATCAGTCCTTAATTCCTCTATGAGGTAAATACAAAATTGTCCACATTTTGTAGAGAAGCAAACCGTTGGAGACAGAGACTGCTTTGCCCAAAATAGTACTGATTTCTCCCTGAGCTGTTAACAACTCCTGATTAGCCAATTTTCTTTGTGAAGGTGGGCACCAAAGAAGTGCAGTATTCCCAATTAGAAGCCACAGATAGCACACTGAAGTTCTGTTTAAACAGCATTGCCTACACCCTCAAAGAACTTTATGGTCAGACATATCCTGGGTGGTATCATAAAAAACCTTGCCATTTTTCTGACAAGAAATGACTGGTTGCTAGCAAGGATCTTGCAAGTCATATATCAACCACCTGTACCGTTTAGCATGTTTTAAAGTAGTCTGGGATATCAAATAGTTTCGCTTTGTTTGTTTTGGCAGGGGGTGTGTGTGTGTGTTTGTTTTTTCGTTTTTACACATTAAAACTACCTCCTTCATGCTTCTTCCTTCAGTAATATTTAAACAAGGAGGCAGTCTGTTAAGCCATTTAAACACCAAACTAGATTTTATTAGTTTTACTGGTTTGGTTTTTATGGCACAGTCACAACCAACCATACAGTTCAGGAAAGGTATGCACACTTGTAAAAAAAAGATTTGGTACTTTCAGCAAGATTTCCGTTTAGATTTTAATTAAGAGAGCTGTCAAAATGCAGGAGGCAACACTTTACAGAGTAAGAATGCTTTGAATATTTGCCAGTTAGAAACTTTTGATAGTCCAAAAACCATGCTCATTAAGCAATACTTCATTTTACTTGGAGTTTTTTGATGTTGGGGTTTTTTTTGCACTTGTGAAAAAAAAACCTGAAAAAGCAGGCAAAGATTTTTGATGGTTGATGTCTTTCCACCACATGACATAATCCCGGCATTTTCTTTTCTTTTCCGATAGGCCCAAAGGTGACTGCTCACCGAGCAGTTAGCTTCTCTACCAAGCATGCTAGCAAATACATAAATACAAATAAAAATTATGGCAAAGCTTTCACATGCCCAAGTAGAAATGGACTACAGTAGACAATTCATTTTGTTTGTCACAAGATGACCAAAAAAACAGGGATGCAGAGGAGAGTGTTTCTCCTTATTCTATACTGATCTCTGAAATAATACTAGGCCTGAAAAGTAATCACATTATTAAACTAAATCTGAGGAGGTTTTAATTAAAACTGTACTTTTGTAATTATAATTTGAAATTCCATTTGAGGCTTAAGAGTTAAATTTATCAGACTGTGAAGAGTTTTACAAGGCATTACTAATGTAATGAGCTTAGGCACCACATATGTTGCATCTTTGGTACACGTTATGAAGAGTTGCTTTTTTAATGAGCTTTAAAAACTGTATTTGCATACCAGAGGAAAAGGTCAGTGATGTGTGGATCAAGTCAGTAAATTAAGTATCACAGTATTATGTTATTATGATTGCCTTCCACAGACACACAGTAACAAAACCATAGGCTATAGCCACCATACTATTCTAATGCTTCCATCTACATGACCTTGTCAGCTTACGTACACTGGCGCTGCTGTGCCCCGGGTCCCATCTTACTCCGTCCCTTGCCCAGGCCTCCTTCACCTCCTCTCCTCACCATACTAGCAGAACAGCTGGTATGTCTGACAGTCGGAGAATCAAAGCAAGCACAGGAAGGAGGGGCCGAATTCAGCATGATGGCCCATCTCCAAGCACTACCTTGCACTCCAGCCTTTACCCTGAGTAAAGATACCCAGGGCGAGGTCCTCAACCCTCACAAGATCAAACCTATTGGACAGCAAAGCATCAGGACAGGGATGCCTCTTTCAATCCAAGCCCCATTCCACTTGAGTCTTTGTTCAAGGATGCAGCAGTATCATCTCTCTTTCAAAACACAGATACTGGAAGTATTTCTAATGCTATGGTCCAAAATTTGACTCAGTCTACTGTAACAGTTCTTTTTAGTTGGAATGTTAGATGTTTGGTAATCTCTACAGACTGGTTGACTGGTAGCTATATTGAAATTTTTATTCTGCGATAATAAAATAAGCTAGGAACTGACTGCAAATACGCTCTCACCAGGTTTTCAGCAAACAGTAAAGTTCACTGGATTTACCTTTATTTGTAGGTATCATAAGTATTTGTAAATATTGTAAATTTGTACATATTATAACCTTACCTTTATTTTTTAAGGGCAATTGAAGTAGATTCCCTCCCCAACTCTGCAACAATCCACAGTACTTAACAGATCTCTCTCTCCCTCTCTCTGTTTTAGAGACTGTACGTATACACTAAACCATGTTATGCACTACATGATACTTTATGCATGTTTATACATATCACAGCCAAGTAAGTGACACTCCAGCTCTGTATAAAGATGTAGATTTAGTCATTAGAGAAAAAAATCCTTTAAAATATTACAACAGTAATAGCACAACTCAGTACAGTTATAAGTAGTTTTAATGATTTTTCACTTTTTGTGTACGATAATCCTCAAAGTAGCATTCAAAAATATAGTGCAAAATATTTGTTTTATTTACAAATAAAATGTGCAGTTCAGCTTCTTATCCTCACCACAGTAAATGTTATTCTTCTATGTGACAAACAGAAATTATGAGAAACATTTGAAGAGACAAAAAGTTCATTTTAAACCTAAGAACAAAGATCTTTCGTTCAGTTATATTTTTGTAGAAGTTACACAATATCAGTTTTTTAAAAATTGTTTTCAGTTGAAAAAGAAAAACAAAGTCCAAGACAACACTAAAGAATTACATAGGAAAGAATGTTTTTTTAATACCATAAAGTTAATTTTGCTGTGACAATCACAATGCAAAGTTCTTATCTATATAGAATATCTTTTTTTTTTTCAGCTAAAACATAGAATCTTTACAATGTCATGCTTTTTCCCTTCTTACTCTACAAATTGCCTTTAGGGGAAAAAGTATTCTAACATCCTCCTTTCCCTCTGATGAAACAACAGATGCTTTGGTTAAAGAGCAATTCGTGCGCAATAGTGTTTTAACTTGCAAGGCAGTACTCCTTTATTAAGTTGGTAGAATTCCACTAGCTGGATGAGATCAGTAAATCTGGTATGACCATCATCAAGGGTATAGAATAGCTTCCCATCATCTTCCAACTGCAAAAATGGAAAAACAAGACAGAATAAAATCCTCTTTTGCTATGGTATTTCTTCCCGACTGAAATACTTGTTTGAGAAGTCTTCCTGTAGACCAAGATATTCATAATTACATGACTACTGAGAGAAGGAAAAATACAGCGATCATTCACAGCAAGATCAAAAATAAACAGAAAAACAATGCATTCTTTAACTTCCCCTTTAAGTTATGTACATGCCTAAAAGGAAAGAACAGTTAAATAAGTATAGGAATATTCTTTCTGCACTAACAATATTACTTTATGCCTTTGCTTTGGAATGATAGCTGGAGTTAATATGAACACTGAATTTTTACAGAGTGACAAGAAACAACCAAGTTTCAACTTACTCACCGATTTCAACCTTTGCTGCATTCATATTCTGTGTAACTGCTACATTTTGTATCACTTACTTTGTAAGGTGCAATGAGGCTATACGCTAGTGCACTGGTGTACTGGATGACACTTGCTATACAAGAAACTGCCCACCACAAAAGTAACATGCTTGATGTAGTAACATGTTCTTTGTTGTAGGAGAAAGAACTGCTGCAGCTCCAAACGCATTAGCATGGATACAGAAGAGAAAGAAGAAATTGCAAAACATACCTTGGAAGATTACTTTTGACTTTTAGATGCTTAAAAATTTACAATCAGCATTTCTCTATTCTAGGTTACTAAACATTAGCTCTTGCACAATTTGTATTGCATTGGTGACTATATAGTTTCTCGATTTATTTCCTCTACTGCTGATACGTCTAATATCAAGAAGCTTCAGTGCAATAGTGACTAATTAGTATTAATGTACATAGAGGGTAAAAAAACCCTATTTAAACTATTTTAAAAAGAAAAGGGAAAAAAGATACTTTACAAGATTGAGAGAGTAGTGAACAGAAGATCCTGAAGTAGGGCTAGCGTAGAGTAGCAGATGGTGTGCTAGGGAAAGATGCAACTATCCTACTTGAGTAGAGGGGAAGGGAGAAGATATAATTAGCTCTCTTACCTGTAATTAAGATTTCTCATCTGAAGCAGCTGTTGAACTGCTTATGACTCCTGGTTATTCTACCCTTTTCTACCATGTCTGGAGGTAGTTTGTAATTTCTTTATTCTCAGACTTTGGTCAATCCAGGTCAAACACTGCTAGTTAAGGAATTACCAATGTGTGCATGTGTAAATTCCTGTGCTCCAGCCAAGAACCTGAAAATGGATTATCATCCATCGGACTTTCCTTATGCATGCAATTTTCCTGCCAACACACTGAAGACAAGGAAGAGTTGACAATTCAGATGTCTGTTGACCAGGATTTCATTTTTAGCTTATTTTTCCCCCTCCAAGTTAATCCCAAACCTTGAAGTGAATACCAGACATATTGCTAATTCTAAAGCAATCAATATTCTGCAAAGTAAAAACTCATATCAAAATTATGTTGCCCATGAACCTAACATCTTCTGTAAGCTAAGAAGGCTGTTATGAGAGAACATTTATTGGAAAAAGACAGTCCCAGAAATGTGTATCAATTCTTCTTCTTTCGCATGGACTACAGAACAGCTAATTTCAGGATAGACAACACTGAAGTTAACTTATATCACCTCAGAGTGGTAAGGCTGAAAAATACATTTAAGCTATCAAGTCCTCCAACTTTCACACTATGGGATCCCAAATGTATCTCAAAGGTTTTCTCTTCAACTTTCTACAATCAATTCCCTGCCACCCACCTGCAATACCTGTTGCACATGTTACTAATGTTAACATGATGCACCTGTTAATGTGGGGGAAACTTGAATTGGCAGGCTGCATGCCCTATCTGAAAGGAGACATTTTTAAATGCAGTGTAACCTGAAGCAACCTAAAATGTAAGAGAAAAATAATTCATTTAGAGACTGACTGATTTTTCACTTGTAAAAAGACCTTCTAAATGCCAGTTATTTATTTATTTACATTTAGTAGGAAAGTTTATCTTCTCTTCCCAATGGCTGGAAAAAGGCAAGAGTTTAGAAGAACAGCAGGATTTGAAGTTCAAAAAGGTAACCTTGATCTCCAACTAATAAGCTACCACCTTACTGCAGTAACACAACATGCCTTGTTTCTTAGAAAATGGTAACTTCATTTAGAAGATCAGCAGCAACTGGAAGCAAAACCTTCCCCCCCTCAAAAAATACTTTTTTGAACTCCTTAAAGAGTATTGTTCTAGCGAAAACAGAGCATGTGGTAAGTCAGGATATTGAGAATGGCATGAGGGGTACTGAATGTGACTGGAAATTAGATGACAGAAAGGAATTCAAATATGCCTATGTTTGGGGAACTACCAGTTTCCATAGTCTCTCTCTGGATTAAGTTGTTCTCATTACAGATTTATTTTTTCTGGTAACTACCATAGGATAAATTGCTTTACTTTAAAAACCAATTAAAAAAAAATTTCCTTCAAGAAAAACAGGTTTTGCACTGAAGTGGTACAGGTCTTCTAGAGCATCAGCATGGAAAAACCGTCCCAAGTCTGTAGACAATCTATGTCAAAATAAAGAGTTCCTGGTTTCTCCAAAGATCCTACAACAGGAGAACGTGGTTTTAGTATGCTTGTATATGATTAATTCCTCAAATGCACTGCTTACATCTGCAGAAGAACATTAGAATTGACTGGATAATTTTTTGGAAGGGAAGAGGAGAATCATCCAGCTCAGAGGAAACTGAAGATAACTGCAGCTTCCTGCTACATTGGTTGTTAGAGAAGAGAGGGTCTGTTTCCTGATAGGGAAAGAAAAAGTGGTCTCTTAAATTTGAGAGTTAAATGACATGCCAATGAAGTAGGATCATACAGTATTTGTACGGAGTTCAGAAGGTTTTCTAAACCACACAGCAGTTATCCCAAAGTAAATACTAGAAGCAACCACAGTCAATAGAAGCACAGAGATCTTACACCTGAGATTCTGATCACAGAGCACATGCTGATGCTTGCATGGGATCCAGGGCATAGCTATCACTTTTGGATGAAGGACTCCTCCATTGTTTGTACCTAACACAACAAAAATCCTGGGCAATTCTTTTAACAAACATTGATTCACTCCTTTCCTCCTCGCAAATAATGCTTCTGTTTTATTCTACAGGAACTTTTTTTGGGGAGGATATCAGCTGCAAGCCCTAGGTAAGGCATACAGAAATTTGGTGAACGATCATAGGGGATCACCAGATCAGAAACAAAGAAAATGCCACTACACTCATTTCTACTGAGAAACAGCAGAATCTCCTAGAAACTTCAGTAGGAAGAAACATGGAGGCTAGAGTGTTATGTGGTCTGGAAGAAAGGTTCTTGTGAATAGAGAAGAAAAAGCTATAGGTCTGCTCAGTTATGTCAAGCATCTGTGGGTAAAACACATAATGCTAAAGTGTTTCTCATCTTAACCCAAGCAGCCTGTAAAAACAGTATAAACCACCTCTGGAAGGATTGGAAGGGATGGGGAAAGCTGGCCATTCTGGCAGAAGAATTGGATGGTATCTTCAATGAAAACTGATGGAAATATGATTTCAATTTAGGAAATTTCAGCTTACCTATAAGTAGCTGGACTAAATAAGGGTATCAATTTTTTGCTAAAATTGTCCCCCTGAAGAAGACCTGGACATGAATATACCACAATAATATGAATCAAGAAGAGGGGTCAGCAGAAAATGTTTGGCTCCAAATATTGAGAGAAACTATCCTGAAAAGATGAGTCAGTGAGATATACACACACACGCGTCGCAGGCAGTCCACCTAAACAGATGACTAAAAAGTAATTGTGCACATATTGAAAAATGAAAAGGTAATATGACCTTTATTAATACATGATTTTCATGCCATCAGGGTTGCTTCTATTCCAGTTCAAATAGATTTGTCTATTTTTTTGAAGACACTTTTTAGGATTTCATAATACTAGTCAAGCTTTATAACAAATCAAACAGCAAAGCTCAAAAATGTTCAACTCTACTCAAGAATACTAATTTATTTTTGTGATACAGGTATTATGTTTACATCTTCCATATAACAGCAAAAGAAAAAAGAATCCAGCGATATTCAATCACAATTAATCAACTGTTTTGTTTTACAACTGTATATATAAACTGAAAAATTTACTTACTGGTACAATTTGAAAATGCTTTATTTTTAATCCATGACTCAATGACAATACAAATGTTTTGGGGTTACTTTGGCTATCACGTACCAGGAATACCCTAAAAGAGATTGAAAATTTTCAGAGTAAGATCTCTCTGGAAAGCCTTTTGTAAACATCCAGTTAAAACTGTTGTAAATTCATTACAGAAGTATTAGTGAAAAGCAAAAATAATATTAATTAAATAAGTTATGCTTTTAATCAGTATTTCTTTGCAAATGTGTCACTAGAAATACTTTTTCTTAAATTCTTCTTCACCTTGTCTATTATATGAAAAATATGCATTCTCAGAATGAATGATACCGTAGGCATTAGTTTTTACACTGCATAGAATTACAATGCATCTCTTTAGACACAAAAGTACCCCCAAAGTTTGTGCTTTGAACAAAGTTTTTCTTTGGACGCTGACAGTTACCTAAATCACAAGCGTTATAGGGAAAATTCGAAAGGTAGTTCAACAGGGAGTTTACAGAAAAGGTAACGCAAGACATACCAGAATGATTTTCACATCTGGCCAATAATCATAAATGCACGCTCACTTCTGCACATCGGCAAAAATCCCACTGAGACAGAGCTACATTCTGCTCATTTTATGGCATCGTTATTCAAATCACAACACTCTCAATGGCCAACAGTGTCACTGCAACTAGTTCACTGATAACTTAGTCCAGCCAGTTTATGGACAGACTTATGTCACAATCATGGTAGGATAATCTCGTACAGGCAAAGGATGATTACCAGTAAGAGACAGCTTTCATTGAATCACTGGGTTTGGGATATTGGCAGAGAACAGTCTGGAGGACAGAGGGAAGTACCTGATTCACAGCTTTGTAGTGGAGAGAGTCTGAACTGTTTATACTGTGCAGGTCTGGAACAGATACAGCTAACCAATGTACCAAAGAAGGGAAATGGAGGGACAGCCATTGGCAAGCATGCTCCTCTTTCAGGACACAAAAGAAACGGGCAAAATGGACTTGCAGGTATCAACCAAGTGAGCACTAGTGGCCACCTACTTTTTCCCAACCACATACCAGGAATTAGAGCACAAACTATTCTATGAAAAGAAAGGATTTCAGGAGAAGAAAGCAGACAAAGGCTTATGGTGGATTTTCACTGACTAACAGCATGGATCCAAACTACTAATTTCATCCTCAATGTTTTTAAGAGTTCTATTTTTCCAAAGTAAGAAAATACTTGGAATTATGAAATTTGGAGTCTATAATCATTAACATTTCTGTCAAAATCCCCATCCAGTCTAATTCGGACCTCTGATACTAATTCAGTTATTAAAGAGGGATAATCGCCAACTCAGCATACGGCTTGCAAGAGCACACGGCAAGTGTAAGGACAAATAAGAGTTCTCAATAGACTCGGGCTCTCATAACAAGCTCTCTCTCACCACCTAGTGGCCTTTCACCCTCTCCAGGACATGAACGAAATTTTTCAGAGCACAGTTAGAATCCTTTGCATAAACTTAAATCTTTTATATATTTCTCATTAAGGACTGGCATTTTATTTTATTCAGAAAAATGACACTGTAAGAATGTGCCACTTTGCAGATATCCAAAATGGGGTCTCTACACCCAAATACCGGTATACACATTAAACAATACACAAAGTAATCACATTGGGTAGGAAAGAAAATACAGGTTGATAAATATTTATGTTCCCATTCATCAGTTCTTTTAAAGTCCATTTTCTTACTTTTTTCCTTGTTTTAACAGCAAAGATAAGCAACATTTGTCCTCCTTACATAAAAAGATCTTTACTCTTTTCTAACCTTATCACAGTAGACCTACTTTAGTTGTCAAAGAACCTTTAAAAAGATCACTTTCTTATGAAGAAAGGGTTCTAGTTCACAGAATCTTAGAAATGCTAGTTGGAAGGGAGCTTTTTAGACATGCTGGATGACTCCAAACAACTGCTCCTTCATAAACCTGTAAGGAATTCTCTGAATGACCAGTTGCATTTTGTCATGGGCCTTTTGGTAATGCTATTTATCTCATTCATCAATAAGATGCCGATCCTGTCAACCATTTATCACTGAAAAGTCTCCAAATGTCCTTTAGGGAGTAAAGTATGAAATCTACAACACTGCTACATAAACTTCTTTAAGAAAGTTGGTTTTACACCAGGACAGTAGATCCAAAAACTTTATTCTTTCATAGCACACCTTAAGACTGTTGCTGTCTCTAATTCTGTTACTGGGTTATTCAAATACTGAGACAACTGCAGATTCTTTAAGTAATAGTCCCTTTATCTTCTATAAGCCATCAAACAGCGTATTTGTTGGTACATACAGTATTACAGAGGTCCTACCACCTCTGTCATATATGCAGATCTCCCTGCTTGGGATCACCTTAGAAGGCTCAACATGGATTATTTTCTCTGCCCCAACCCCCCCAGCCCCCAGAAACTAAAATCTTATTATTCCCATGAAAAACTTCTGTATTTCTGGTGATAATTCGTTCTTTCAGCCCGTCAAAAAGCACAGCATTTGTCACATGCTGTAATGTATTAATGACTTCACTGTAACTCCTGAATATGTATCTGACAGCATATAAGCACTCATACTACCATGTTCTAATCAATTCTAGACAAGTCCACGCAGAAGTATCATCCTCACCAAAACCACAATGCATATCTATGAATAGATCCAAGAATATAACATAAACAACACTGTACTAAACTAATGTTAGCAAGGTATTCACTTTCTTATCTCAAACACCATTGCTATTTACTCGTCAAATCTACTGGGTTTCATTTAACAGTATGTGTGTGTACCCACTGAAATACAGTGGAAGATTCGTCACCCCTAGAATGACATACTGCTCAGAAATACATGTTGGATTCACTCCCATGTCCTGTCCCTCTCACGTAACAAATGCAAAAAAGAATGCAGAGCACAGAAGCAGTTTCAGGATGATTAGCCCAGCTTAAAAACATGACCCCTGAAGTTGAAAACTAGAAGAAAAAATACAAAAGGGGAAGTCCAATTAGCCATCCTTGCTGAATATGACTACTTCTGTCTCCCCTTCCTTCCCATCTCTTTTTTTTTTCCTAGAGCCATTTCTGCACATGTAGAAAACAGTATTACAACATACTTAATCTAAAACTGAAGGAATTTAACCAGTAATCTGATATTACAGGTACCTAACTGGAAACAGACTCAGAGAAACTTAGTTTTATGGAATTACTCATTGAATGAAGGAGGCCCAAGTTTATATTTAATACAGGAGTAAGGATAAAAATACGGAAATGAAAAACAGGAGGATTTGAACATAAAATACCTACTTGCTTTGTCATTTTTTTTAAATTAATATTTAAGTGAGAGAAAAACAAAAGTGAATGGTCTTATCCTAATGTTTATTGTTTACCATTAAGGGATAATACAATTTTTAGTCATTTCATGAGGAAAAGCATACTTTTTTTTCAACAGCTGTCTCTGCACATTTCATCTTAGAATAAGGGTAGTCAATGTTTTCAGGCTTGCTTTCATTCTTTCATCACTAATAAGAGATACAAAAGACACTGGTGCCGAAGTTGACAGTTCCCAGAGAATGTTGTACAAATACACAGCTCAAGTGCCTAGCTCTGAGCAGACCTAAGTAATCTGTCAGTGACAGAATCGAAGTGTTAGATCACCACTTTATTGCTTCCAAAAGATATAAAATAGAAACCAACTGATCCCCAGATAGCCCTATATAAAAGAATTTTTACTTCTATTAGGTAAGTGCAAAATCTTCCTTCCTCCATCTCCCCCCCAATAAGTAGTACATGAAAATAGCAGTTGTTGACTGGAAACATCTCAGAAGAGTTACGTAAAGAATTAACTTACCCATCTACAAGTCCATGCTGCAAAATAAGTCTCTGAGCCTCTTCTCTAGAGATTTTATGATGAAACCATGACTGAGATCTATGTATAGCTGTAGAAATAAAGATCTTTAAAAAAACATTTTGCCTTTATTGAAAGAACCAGCTATTGCATTTCTCTGGCAATGAATTAACTCACACATACCCATGTTAGACATGGCAATAGGACTACCATGTGAGTTGAGTCGTAGACACCCTCTCCTCTGTATGAGAGAAGTAAAAACATGATTTGAAAGCTTTTTTGTTTAAAAAAAAAAAAAAAAATTGGAAAATACTATTCTGATAAAGCAAAGGTGTTTATACCCGCCATGCTAATCCTTCTTCAACTGCAACTGAAAGGGCTTCTGTTGGATTTTCTATAATTCTGCTTCTGTGTCCTGAGAAATCCATTGCTACTAAAGAATTTTCTGAAATGCTTCTCTGCAACAAAGAAAAATAAATTTAGTTTGTTCATTTTTTAAAAGATCCATCATTTAAAAGTGAGCTTCTGAGAAAACATTATGTTTTGTAAGTGGTGTTTCAAGCATCTGCAGTGTTTCCCATCAAAGCCAAACTCATTTTACCCTAGGGAGCATTTGTAATTCCAGTATGCTGCTGCAAAGCTCAATTTTACAGTCTGGCAGGACAGATCATCTTTTTGCATTACTGCAATAGATGATAAATACATCGCTTTACCATAAACTCTATTTATATTTTTAACTATAACTAGCCCTTTGCATGTCAAAACAAGTCAGGAAACTGTTATTAAGCTGTCCAAGTAACAGAAAAAAGATAAAATACAAATTTCTTATACATAACCAAATTAACAAATATTTGAAATATTTTGCTATAAATATGTGATAAACTTATATATTTTCTATATAAACTTTCACTCAAAGTTTACCAGATTTAAGCATTGAAAACAGTAATTTCTATGGAAATTAACTTCTATTTTAATACAACCCTTCTAACTCTTCACAGACTCAACAACTGTAGGATCTGTTATAAAAAAATGCTTGGGTTTTTTTCTCCCAGTGAAGATCAAGTTTGTAACAACAGAATAAAAAGCACTGAAGTGTGACAAAACAGTCTTAAAACTCACCAAAATACATCTCAGAAACCAAGGTTTACAAAATCAAGTTTAATATGGATTGTAATGGCTCAAATGTCAGCAGGCACTGGAATATCAAATAATTACAAGAACATTCTAGCATTCTATAAGTTAAAGTAACACCTGGAACACAAGAGGCCCAGATTTCTGTAGGGTTAGCAAAGCTTCCCAGTTCAAAACCAAAGCAGCTCTGTTTTGTTCCTGTTTGGTTACAAGCATGAATATAACTAGAAATGGAAGACAGCAATTTTGCAGTTCACTGTAATTCTTTACACTGTAGTCTAAGGTCTGCCTGAGCAACTGTAACCTGTAAAGAACTTTGCAAAAGTGAAAAAACAAGGGCAAAATAAGATAAAATGTTTGCCTCTAGGAGAGTGGAGGGAACTCCTTGTAGCTGACATGGTTGTGAGTTATGGAGGAATGTGAAACATGGAAGTGGTTCCCCTACGAAGTATGTTCATTAGCTTGTGCACTTAATTCCCAACTTTATCCAATTTGCTGTTTAATTCATGAATTATACACAAGTAGAAAAAGAGTGTCACGCTTAATACTGGTTATAGATCCTGCATTAGAAGCTACGCGAGCTAAAACACACGCAACAACATAAGAGGAGAGAGAATCAGTAATGGCTCCCAGATCCATTATAAAAGCAGCAGCTGGCTATTCTAACAGCTTCACACAACAGAAAGTAAAGACATGGTCAGCATATTAAGCACAATTTTGAAGCCATGCTTATTAGCAGTATCACTGAAAACTATTTTTGTGAATACCTATAATAGCAAATGCATATTTTAGGCATTTTAACCGCAAGAACTATAATAAAAGCTCAAAAAATCCACCATAAATCACTGTCACAAGTCCTGGCAACAAGTAATTTTTACCCAATTTAGCCAAGAACAAAACCAAAAATTATATAAATCATCCATGAAAAAGTCTGGAATCAAATGACTCATAAAGAACTGGGATAACATAAGATATTAAAGAAAAGGACAACCTGATCCACTCCGAACTATCTGACTGAGGAGATGGACATAGCATCTAATATAGGCTGTTATTGCTCCAAAACCCAGTTCTGCCAAATTATGGTGTTCTTCTGAAGTCCAGTCATTATTATAACAGCTGAAACTCATCTTAAGTACTTAATATTTTATATAAAAAAAAAAGGATTTGTTATAGCTTTCTTATTCATCATTTACAGCATGTGTAACCTTAAACACTTTTCTTCTTTTTTAACGCATTTATAGTTCTGCTGCTCTGTGTTCAAAAATCCTCTTTCCATTCTTTTTGACAGTGATAACAAGCCAATGAACCCCCAAAATACTGGAGATTTGACAAAGGCAAAAAACCTGTTAACTGGTCTGAACTACCTGATTTGTATTAAGTAAGTTAATTAATTAGCTCTCTAGACAACCCTGACAAAAGTTTTTGGCAAGCATTCACACATGCAAAGATTTGCAGAATCAGGTCACTAGTATAACACACACAAGTTACTTAAAAATAGCATGATGGCAGAAACAACGTATTTATTCATGGAGCTACTGTGGGACATACCATAGGTGTTATATTCAAAGGGCTGCAGCCACTTCTACCTTGATATGGTTGCATGTAATTCTGATACAGCTGCATCCCATACTAAAACCAGAAAATAACACGGTTAGCATTTTAAATTATAAACCTAAGCCAAGTAAATTTTTTTCCAGATGTAAAAGATAACACATGCTTTTCTTTACCATTAAAAACCAGGGACAAATGCTGTTAGGGTAAGGAAATGCACATCGTCGTCATTGCTGCTGCCTTTATAAATGTACACACTGCATTAAATGCTACCCATTTAATACACCAACTGACCTATTCCTATTTTTTCACAAACAGACACATTTTAAAAACATATTAAAGTTCCCTTCTTGTAGCTTTGTTCCACATTACTCAACAATCTCACTGAATTCAACATGGTTACATATAAGCATGTGCTTAATGTTACATTTAAGTATTTGCAGGACTGAGGCTTCAAAACATCATCCCATCCCTACAATGATTCTAGTAATTTGGCCTCTCTCTGTTTGTTGGGATGAAGAAAAATAAGCTTTCAGAGTACAAAATTGATATTGCTATTGCATGGGAACCTAGAATTACATTACTTCTCTACCACACAGTATGAAAATTTCACAGAGTAAGCTTAAGTAAGAAGTTAACTCCACACAGAAAAATTACCTTAAGCAACCTAATTGCTGTCATCCAACAGGTCCTACTTTGTTCATCATCTGCACAGAGCTGTTTCAGGTCTCTGGTTCCTCCTGATTTGTTAGGCTAGAAGGCCACAGCACATTTTTTTAGCATTAATGCATATCTTGAAGATAATACCTGTTGAAATAAAAGCCACTAATTCTCCTATTTTATAACAGACAGCTGAATATTGTTTTCAAAAACCTTAAAGAAACTTAAGCTTACCTAAAAACTGTGGCTTGCTTTAATATGTATCAGAATAATAAGCCTGTACCTTAAAGCAGAATCCATAGTTTGTTGGTGCTCCAGAAATCTTTTTGCCTGTCAAAGACATGTACATATCACTATTGCTGAATTCACAGAAAAACTGCAGATGCCTTGGCTCCTAAAAAAGAAGGGCAATGTAATACAGTTAGACTATTTTTAGCCAGTCTCCAGATAAGAAACTCAGAAGAGTATAGTAGTTACCCCGTTCCAAAATACAGTCTTACATACTGCAGTTTTAACTGTGACATCATGAAATCTAGAAAGAGACAACTCAACAGTAACTTTATAATGCAGAGAAAAAACACCTCAAACTAGTCAAAGACTTCATTCTTCTAGAGAGGGAAAAAAAACCAAAGTGCAAGTGATATCATTTCTGGGAAAACACGCACTAAATTCAAGCCACAATAATAGTAAAGTAGGAGGCAAGTTTTGAGAGCAGTATGCATTTCAAACATCAAAATAAAATATACTTTCAGAATCTGAAAAACAACATACTGTAATTATTACTGTCCGGTACTACTTCTAACCATTATCTCCATCCTCTAAGGTTAAGTCAAGGAAGCAAACAAAAGAAATTTGCTGAAGGATACAAAAACAGCTCAATGAATACTCTGGCATTTAACATAGAAAATTCAGAACAAGAAAAAACATTGTTTTAAGTAGTTTATGTAAAAGGGGTGTCAACTCCTGTGTATCCTGTGTAACATAATCAGGTTTAAGGTATTGCCATCAAAAAGTTGAACTAGTAAAATGAAAAGCTGTCCAGTGACAAAACTTGAGAACTCTAAAAATCTTCCTGTAAAATCCTTTTATACATGGGGGTTTGTTTATTTTAGATAATGAAGTATTATATCCACCTTTCAGAGCATCAACTTACACTTCAGAATTTTAACTACTACTTGAAAATTCATTTTATCAGGCAAAAAGAAACTACTGTTTCTAAGACATACTTTCCCAATTTTGTATCTCAAGGTCTCTCTAAATTTTATCTATAATAAATAGATTATTTTTTCCCTTTTTATCACTGTAAGTTGAAATTCAAATTTTGGTTGGTTATTATTACAACAAATGGTAAATACATAGACATTTGCCCTAACGTCACAGTTCTCTCTCTTTTTTTTTTCCCTTCCCTTACCTTAGAGGTACCTTTAGTGGAAAAATAAAGGCCAGATCTTCTCAAAAGAAAGTACAATTTTTTCCACGATTTTTTTCCCTGCTCCTTTGCATGCAAATAACCATGAATCTCAGGATATGTGCTGGAGCTTAGGAACATCTGAAAGAAATTATCAGACATGCATTTTTCTTTTCATCTAAAACCAGCTTTCTGTTTCATTAACATACTCAGACAGGACTAAGGGGAATAAACCCCTAAATCCACTATCACGCCACAGTAATTCAGTTACGATTGCATCTAATCCCATTAAGAGTACTTCTGATTTAAGGCATGTAGAATGTTACACAACTCCAAGGTATGCTAAGCAAGTTACATATTTATATGGAACATATGGTTTGAAATGAGAGCATTAGTTATGCAATATGTTGACTTCAGCAACAAAACCAGTGTAAGAAGTTCTGATCCCATGCCTCAGACCCTATTTATATAAAACTGCAAACCAATGCTACCAAAAGAAGAAAAAAAAAATGCTATCCCTCCCCCACTCCTGTGTTACAAACCAGATAAGCTAACTGATCTGAGTTAAAATTAATTCAGCAAACAAATCACAAAATCTGAATCACAAAACCATGCAGGTCAGGCAGATATTATCATTTTCAAAAGAAGGGAACAAAGGTCTCAGGACCTGAAGTGGTGCTTAAGTAGGAGCTTTAGTTGAACCAAAACCAGGAGGGGCTGGACCAGTCACCAAAACAGCTCCTGTCTGTGCTCAAGGCCATGTGGCAGAGAGTACTGAAAAAAGCTGCATCAGGAGGAAGGAAAGAGGACTTAAAAGTCTGAGAGATCAGCCATTTTGCCTCCAGAACTGCAAGAAAAAGGTGTGCACCCTCACAAGCCGTAGAAAAGACAGAATGATATGGGTAGACAGAGAAGTTAACTAATGCACTGAGAGAAGCTAACCAATGCACTGCCTCTACTCAAGCATTCAACAGCTTCTCTTTAGCCATTTCAACCCGACATTGTCAGAACGCAACACAGCTGTTATCTTGCTAAGACCAAGTACACAGTTTTACTTAGTCTGCAAAAGTACCCACTAAAAGCTGGCAACCATGTTAACTTCATTCTAATTCCATGTAATGCATTCATTTTTATTACTCTTCTTCCAATAAAACTACTCAGAACTATGGCTCACATCTAAACAGACTAACCTAGAATTATTCAATTTCCATATATGCAAAGGAATCTGTGTTGTTACTAAGCTCTTCAAGAAACCTTGCCCCAGACTGGCCTGCAGAATCATAAATACTATCTAGGCTTATATAGCGGTAGGGAACAAGGGATTTTCTGGTTGGTATCTCTGCAGCTTTCATTGCGACGTTTTCCTCCTGTTCACTGCCACTTCCAGAAAATCTGATTTGAGGACACAAAGCAACAGATTACTAGGCAAGAGACAGACTGACCAGTACCGGACTGGAGCAAAACGATGAAGTGAACGTGATTTTGGAAGTACACCAAGTTCTTTGGCCACTAAATAATGCAGTCCAACCAAGACACACAAGGTTTCTTTTGCTTTTATTGTTTTCCTACCTTGCAGCCAGATGCATGACTGTACCACCTGTAGACCAACCTGAGCTATTAAATTCAGCTGGTGTGAATGCACTAATATGGGCAGGCTTCATTTGACAGGGGAGTGCCGTGGCCCACAACTAGAAATGCATTATGAATAGCTTCACTGCTATTCACCTGAATAGTTAAATTACAGTAAGACTAGGTACATCTATCTACAATGTGCTGCTGGCACACAGCTGTGTGCAAATGCAGTTTAAGCTATTTCAGCCACATTGAAGCAGATGGGTAGGTCCTGGTAGGTGTTCCAGCCTGTTAATCTTCCCATTTTACAAGGGCATGTAGTGATAGGACAAGGGGTAGTGCCTTTAAACTGAAAGAGGGTAGATTTAGATTAGATATAAGGAAGACATTCTTCACTATGAGGGTGGTGAGGCACTGGAACAGGTTGCTGTCATGGTTTAACCTCAGCCAGCAACTGAGCACCATACATCCGCTCGCTCACTCCCCTCCCCCGGTGGGATGGGGGAGAGAATTTGGAAGAGTACAAGTGAGAAAACTCGTGGGTTGAGATAAAAACAGTTTAATAATTGAAATAAAATAATAATAATAATAATATACAAAGCAAGTGATGCAC